CACAACAACCCAGAGCAAAGTAGAAAACAGTATGTACTTGTTTCTCTCTTCAATTACCTATCAATGACTAAGTAAAAGATCCATGGCCACAAAGCTTTCTAAAGAGCTTTTCCTTCATTATTTAGTTTCACAGCTTGAATACAATAGTGTAAGAAGAAGAAGAAGAAAACACAAACCCTCCCTAATATGTAGGCTAGAGAAACAAAGACTTTAATGAAAAGAGTGGAATCATCCTGAATGCTGCTTTATTTCTCTTACCTTTGTCTCCTTCATTTTTTGACACTGTGTGGCCTGAAGACGTTTTAAGCATGCTTTCTACACCTGTCCTTGAAGTGATCCTAACAGACAAAGAGCTTGTATAAATAAATAATCACCATCATCTTTGTCCCTCCCTCTCTTCATTTCAAGCTGGGAAAGTCCAGCCATAAAGATTGCTTGTTCTCTCCTCTCAGGATTGATTTCTCCACCGCCTCCCCATAATTGTCCCACTCCCTGGCCCACTCTCTATACTCATGAGATTACCAAGTTAGATAAACCTGCTTCTTAAAAGTTTATTTCTGTTGCATGTTTATGAAAATAAACAACTAAAGTTACTACTAACTTATGGATTACTAAGGTACCCTGTATGTATATTATTTCTGTAGGTGTAGTAAAGTCCAGTAAAATTCATAGTGACCCTATGAACAACCAATCTGAACTCTGTCCTATCTTGTGCCATCCTCACAATCTCTAACTCAAACCCATTTCTGTAGTCATCGTATCAATCCAACTGGTTAAGGGTTTCCCTCTCCTTTGCCATCACTCCACCTTTCTAAGCAAGATATTCCTCTCCTAGGAAAAGCCTCTTCCTGCACTATGCTCAAAGTATGTGAGACAAAGCTTTATCAGCTTTGCCTCTAAGGAGCAATTTGGTTTCACCCTTTTCACCCTTGTTCTCTTGGAAGTTCATGGTATTGTCAATACTATTCTCCAGTGCCAAAACACAAAGGCCTCAATTTTTCTTCTGTCATCCTTGGTCATTGTCCGCCTCTCTGTTATACAGCAAGTATTTGAGAAGACCATGGCCTAGACCATGTACCTTACTCTCTTGACTGACATTATTGCTTTTCAGCATTCTGGAGAGATCCCTGACAATTGGTTTTTTGCAGTTTGTCTTTTGATTGACTGACTGCTGGTGCCAAGGGTATCAATTGTGGGTACAAGAAGAATGAACTTGTTAATAATGATCATCTTTTTTCTATCTGTCATTGTGCTGTCAGTTGGCCCAGTAGTGAGAATCTTTGTATGTTTTGTTTTGGTTTTTATGTTGAGCTTAATTCTATATTGAAGGCTACATTCCTTGATATTATGCAACAAATGCTTCATGGCCTCCTCAGTTTCAGCAAAGGTGTGCCATCTGCATAATTCGGGTTGTTGATGATTATTTCTCCAATCCTGATGCCATATTCCTCCTCATGTAGTTTAGCCTCCAAAATTACCTGTTCTGCATATAGATTGAAATGGTATGGAGAATGAATGCATCCCTGAAACACTCCTTTCTTGATTTTGAACCATGCACTATTTCCTTG